CTTGCCCCAGTAAGGAGGTGTAAGGAGGTGGCCTGGGGGGCAGGGTACTTGGAGGTGGGGAGATCCTGGTTCTAGAACTGCAGGAGGGGGGACCGAGCGGCATCCATGACCCCCAGAGGCTCTGTGACCCCCTGCGATTTGCTTACTGCTGGACTCAGACGCGTACAAAGGACACATGCCGAGTGTGAAGGAGCCCGGAGGGCGCCACTCTTTCTGTTTTGCTGTTGGGTGATCTCCATCAGCATACACATGCCTCTCGTCCTCTCACCAGCTCACCGACCCATTTCTCTGCTCCCTGGGCAGCAAAACCCTGAAAGGCGTGTCTGTACGCGTGAATCGTGGGGCCAGAGAGTCCCTGCTTCACGTGTACATTTTTAATTGTTTAGGATGCATTCACACACACATTTCTGTGAATTTACTCTGGCTCGGACCCTTGTCTCCCATTTTTGTTGAATTTACTCTAATAAGCATTTTACTCCAAACCCTTCACCAAAGCTGTTCCTGGACACCCTCAGGGCTCCCAGAGGCCTGCATGCTGTGAGACGCGCACTGACCCCTCCTTCTCATCCCGTCTCACCCATCAGTAATGGACGGTCACAGTGGGACGCTTGAGAGGGAAGGGGGCCTTAAGCAGCTGCAGGCGCAGCATGACCACCGATCGAGCACCCTTTCCACCTGTGCGAGCCCCCCCTAGCCCTATAGGATCGGGGTGGGCCTTCCCTGTTTGAGACCCCAGCTGGGGCTGACCCCTCTCCCACACTGTGTTTCCTCCTTCCCTCTGACCTCCTACCCCAGTTGGAATACCTAGGGCTCCCCCTCTGCCCACCACCCCAGTTCTGGGGCCCTCACCACCCAAATGCCCACAACTGCCAAATCCACACCCAGCCGGGACCTCGCCCCAGAGTTCCAGACTCACCTCAGGGCACCCAGAGGTACCAGCCCTCAACCCGAGAGGCCCCCTGGATATGCAAGTGATCTCAACCCACATGGCCCTCCTACATGCTTCTTCTGTTCTTGGGCAACTGCTGCCCCCAAGCCGTCAGTTAGGCCATCTCGAATTCCTCTCTCCCCTCTGCCCCCCTCCTGGGGTCCCTTATGAGGACTGTACCCCATAAGTCCTTTGAGTCACCCTTTCATGGGGGCTCCCTTCTCACTGCCCATCCTGGGTCCTCGCCTCCTTTCTCTCTCATTCTTCCTTTTTATACGCTAACCCCTCCACACATTTTAGTTAATTTAATGAGAATGTGAGCAGCAGGATTTTGTCTGTTTGGTTCACTGTTAGGTCCACGTTGCCCAGCACACAACAGACAGATATGGGGGAACCAGTCAGAGCACCCCCTGTGCCTTTCTCTGTCATGTGACTGTCTGTAGGGAGGTCACAGGCCCCCTCTCCAGGGTTGGGCATGTGGTTCACTGTCACCTGTCCTCTCGGGTCCCTGGGGATGCCCCACCCAGGCCTGGCAGATGAGGGCAAACAAACCCCATTAGGATCTGCAAGAGTGGTAGGCCTCTGAGTGGTGAAACGCAGCCCTCTAGCCAAGGCATGAGCTCACAGGGACATCCCCGCAGTGTGGTCACCCTGTTGGCTGGACGCCAGCTGATACACTTGCTAGTAAATCATAAAGTCCTCCCACATCCCCTTTACTGAGTGGTGTTGCAAAGGACAACAACTTGCCTCATCTTCACGTACATCTGATAGAGCTGGAGGAAGCCCGCCTGTTTCAGTGTCACAGTTCACAATGATCAATAACTATTCGTCAAATGCAATGGCTAAAACGGGGGCTCCTGTCGTTTGCACTAATAACAGAAGAAGAGCTAAAGTCAGCACATCACATATTTCCTGGAAGGATACGATTAATGCTTGGTGAACAATGGTAGGAGGAAGTGTCTCTTAGACTTACAGCAGTCTGCATGGGATTGGTCCCTTTAATGTGCATTGGCATTTGAAAGCGCACACCTGGCTCTCAATTGAGCTCTTTCCACTTAGAGCAGTGGTTCTCAACCTTGGCTGCACATTAGAATCACCTGGGAATCTTTTTAAAATTCTGATTTCTGGGTCCCATCCTCAGGAAATTCTGTTTCTTTGTGACTAATGTTGTGGCCCCACCCCACAACAAAGAAACAGAATTTCCGGAGGATGAGGCCCAGAAATCAGGATTTTAAAAAGATTCCCAGGTGATTCTAATGTGCAGCCAAGGTTGAGAACCACTGACTTAGAGGCTGTGCTGGCTCAGCAGCAGTTTGGAGTAACTCCCGTGCCAATGACTTGCCTGTGTGAGGAGTTTTTCCTTCTTTTCTAGAAACACCTGCCCAGCTCCTCATTCCAATGGGTTTAGGATAGACCCTCCAGGGGACTGACTGCAATGCTGGCTGTGTCCATCAGGTGGCAGCATGCCCTTCCTTCTGTAACCGGGGAGGCTATTGTGGGGAGATGATTTCCCCCAAATTCTCACAGGAGAAGGAAGGCATTGCCCCACACAGGGGTGCTCAGTGGGGTGCATCCTGGGGCCACTTCAGATGCCTCTGGACGTGTCTCTCAGTTGTCACTATCTTTCCTGGCACCAAGCTGGTCCCTCATCCTGAAGACAGGGAAGCTGGGACTCTTGCATACCTACAGACACACATTTTTAATGGACACACATTCCCTAGGAACGCAGCTGCTGTGTGAACTGTGGGAGACTGCTCTTTCGTGTTCTGTAGCGCTTCACCGAAAACTATTCCCTCTTCCATACCACAAAGCGTCTGTATCAGCTGGCGTCCAGCCAACGGGGTGACCACGCTGTGGGGATGTCCCTGTGAGCTCATGCCTAAACCAGAGAGGATATCTTCAATCGCACCCCCTCGAGGTGCCGTGCCTGACATAGCGCCCTGGGGGCTGATGGACTCAGTACACACAGTGCGGGCGCCCACCTGACCTTCATGAGTCCCATGCAGCCTGCTACACATGTGACACCTGATTTCTTGTCCCTGTCGGTCCTTCTTGCTAGTTAGGGTGCTGCACCATCTTTCTGTTTAGTAGGAGTTTTATTTCTGGATGAAAAGGGCGCATTGTGTGTGACAGGCTCAGATCCATCACTCCAGCACTTGGGATTTTTATCAACCTCGACAGGGGAGAAATGAGAATAAAACATACACACACAAAGGCCCAATGCATACCATTTCCCCTGGGAACGGAGCCTCGGAATTCCTCAGGTTCTATCCAGTTACAAGCCAGCAACAGTGCAGCGGGCATCTGAACAACTAACTCTACGGTTTTCTAAACTGGAAATGAGCAGAAGGAGGTTCAATAAAGGGGAGGAGATGCCCAGCGTAAAGCTCCAAGGTGTAAGGACCCAGAACAGCTTTGCCATCTGAGAAGTGATGTCATAAACTTAGCATTCAGTGTCCATCAGCTCTGATGAGCTCCCACCTCTGCCGGGCTCCAGAGAGAGGCCTGGAGCCGAGGGGCTATCGGGGAGGGAGGGATGAGGGCCGCAACCTCCCCTGGACGTACAACTACCCGCCACCCCTGGGAGACTGTCCCTGCAGGGGAGGCTCCAGCAGCTGGGGCAGAAGCCCACGCCCCGGAAGACCAACTAGAGACTGCCCCCCACAGCTATCCCCATTTCCTTTCAAATCATTAGAGCGTGTTCTTCCCGGAAGCCACTGCTGGGCTCATCGTTTCAGGCTCAAATTGCCGCCCCTTTCCTCTTGGGGGTCAGTCCCGGTGATTCCCCACGGCCAGCGGGTCACGCGGCATTTAAGCATCCTGCTGCTGGGCACAGAGCGCGGGAGCTTCGTCTCAGGTCCCCACCCCAAGGGCACCCCTGCCTCACACCACACGGGGAGTCTGAATCCTCCAGGCGTGATCTTACTTTAGGGACCTCATTCTCTGAGGTCCCCCAGCCTCATGTATAGAATGGGCAAGACAACTGCCTTCTTGCCTCTGTAGTTCTGAGGGTCAAGGGAGACAATAGATGGAGACGCTTTGTGGTATGGTAGTCCCACCTTCAAACCCCTGGAGGGGGAACAGCTGGCCAGAGGGCCTCCCAGGGTGCCAGCCATCCCTCCTGCCCAGCTCGGCCACCTGGAGCCTGGCACACTGAGGCGGGTATGACAAGGGAAGGACAACAGAGACGGTGACTGCAGACCCCACCCGGCTGAGCCAGGGGGCGCACTGCCCGCCTTTTTTCCTGTCACGGGTCACTCACCACCCACATCTGTCCGGAGCCTCCCCCAACATACCCGGCCTCCCTTCCTCCACACCCGCCAGGTTGCTGGAATACTCTACGTGTCGCCCACCGCCCCAGCACTGGCTGGTGGTGATCGGTCGCTACTGGCGGGTGGTATTTGCAGGTCACGCATCAGTTGAACAGACTCGCTGCTTTGGTCTGTTTTCTGGACTAGACTCCTTCACGGAGCTCACATCACCCAGATTCGGGAATGTGTCCTTGCGGACGGCGAGGTGTGAGGAGAGCATCCGGTGCCTGCGACGCTGAGCTTCCATACGCACAGGGTCCCCCCATGCTACCTACCCCTCCCCGCACGTGTGTAACAGGAGGAAGAAAGGTCTCGTGCAAGGCCGTTCGCTGCATCCTGAACAGAGGCAGGGCTCCTGTGTCAGAGCGCCCGTGACCTCCTCACCACCTCTGGGCCAGGTCCCGGCCTGGGTCTCACAGCCACCTCGTCAGTGCACGTGGCCCCCTCCCCAGAGGAAGACCGTCCCCAGCATGGTCTTGCTCGTCTAATGAAGCGACTGGACACTGACGTGAGGGAGGAAAGGTCCCTGGGCGCGGCCGGACCCCAGGAGATGCAGGCTGCGGCCGGACGCCTCCCACAGGTGAGGGGAAGGATGCCGGCCCGGGAGCCGGGACAGCTGGATTCTGATCCGGCATCTCTCACGGCTCAGCCCCTTGGTTGTCTGCCGATGGGTAACTCTGGGCAGGCTCCTGAACGCCCCTCCGCCACAGTCTCCTTGTCTGACAAAGGCCCGGGGGCGGGGAGGGGGTAGTGACACGCACCTGGGGATGCTGGTGAGATAGGTCATGACATTCTGGAACTCCTTGTCGGGCACTTCGCTGAAGGCCGGGTAGTCCGGGAAGGTGATGACGGGGCTGCCGTCCTGCCCCCGCCCACCTGGGGAGACAGCAAAGGCAGCACTTAACTGGGCCTCGGTGCCACATCGTCAAGAGAACATGGCTGATCTTTCACAAGCACGGGATATTTCACTTAACATTGAGAGCATCGCCCGGCCGGCGTGGCTCAGTGGTTCAGCGTCCACCTAGGAACCAGGAGGTCAGGATTTGATTCCCAGTCAGGGCACACGCCCAGGATGCAGGCTCCATCTCCAGTGTGGGGAGAGCAGGAGGCAGCCAATCAATGATTCTCTCTCATCATTGATGTTTCTCTCTCTCTTCCTCTCAAATCAATAAAAATATATTTAAAAAATTTGAGAGCATGTTCTTCAAATTATATATATATGTATATAGATATATATATATATATATATATATATATATCCTCACCCAAGGATATGCTTTTACTAATTTTTAGAGAGAGGGGAAGGGAGAAAGAGAGAAAGAGAAACATCAACACGAGGGAAACAGATTGGTTGCCTCCCCTACATGCCCCAATTGGGAATTGAACCCCACAACCTTCTGGTGTACAGGAAGATGAGATGCTCCAGCAAACTGAACCACCCAGTCAGGGTCAACATAATATTTTTTATTATGAAATAAATTCATGCATATTGAAGGAAAATATTTGGAATATACAAAAAAGTGAGCTGAATTAAAACAATCAGCTAATATTTTGCCGCTATGGGCAGCCACCATAGCATGCGGCACATTTAATTCCAAACCTTTTTTGGTGCATTTTTCTACACAATTGAGACTGTGTTGAATATAGAGCTGGCGTCCTGCTTCTTTCCTAACATTGTGAACGACAGTTTTCCGGGCTTTATAAATGATGTGACTGTGATTGTAAATGCTGCACAACATTCCAATCAGGCTGGGTCCTAATGACCCTCCTACTGCCTACTGTACCTGCTGCAGGAAAGTTCTGGATTCCAGGGGACTTCAGCCAGCAGCGCTTGGGGCTGTGTCCCTCTCAGGACCCAGCTGACCCGCGGCCGGCTCTTCCCCTGGCTGCTGCCCTCTTCACAGGCATCGCGACAGCCTCGCCCGGGCCCTCGGTCATGCCGCGAGCAGGCTGCATCCAGTGGCCTGTCCCCAGTTCCCACCACGTGGAACAGGACCAACTAGGTCACGGAGAACCAGAACCCAGGGGCGGCCAACCACCCGCCACGCAGACACCGGCCCCCACGCTCCCCGGCGGCCGGCACTCACCAGACAGGTAAGCAAAGCGCTTCCTCAGCTGGTCCTGGATGTCGGCAGCGCAGAGCGGGGTGATGTCCTGGTGCATGATTTCATCTGCGGGGAGAGCAGACAGACGGACACACCTGTCACTCGGCGGAAACACTGCCGCACGAGCCACCAGTCTGGGTCAGCCCCCACACGGCTTCGCACATCAGCAGACAACCGAGGGGCTGGCGGTCACGTGCTTGGAAAAAAAAAGTCAGTTTCCAACACGCAGAAACCTTTGTTTCTCAGAGCACAGAAAGCGATGTGCTGAGGGATTCATCCATATTTAAACTGTGGTGTGTGTCAGAGGCACAGAGAAAGGCAGAGAGAGAGGAGGGAGGGCGGGGAGAGGGGGACGGAGAGGGACATGCAGGCAAGAAGGGGAGACACCAGGAAAGGGGAAGGGCCGGGAGCTGGAGGGCTGACTCCTACGGCCAGGAGTCAATGAGCAGCACTGAAAACAGACAGGCTTTGTTCTGGGAATCTCCACCCATGTTCTGGAAGCGATCCAGGCAACCCCTGGGGCCCTTACCTGTTGCCTATGCAAGGACTTGCTAATCAGAGAGGAAACCTGGCCCCTGTCGTGGGTCCGCAGCCTGCAAACACACACACACACACACGCGTGGGGCCTCACCACCCTGACAATGACACTGAGGAGGGTGCTGAGCCAAGTCCCCCAGGGTGCTGAGCCAAGTCCCCCAGCCTGGTGCTGAGAGGAAAAACAGCTCAGCAGGCTGCAGGCTGAACTGGCAGCACCTCCAGCCACGCCCCGGTGCCATCAACGGTTTCGCAAGACTCTAGGGGAAAACCTAGGCCCTGGGGAAAACCTAGGCCCTGGCTGAAGCTGTGAGGTCACTGCCTGGCGTGGGATGCTGGGGTGTGAGTCGCAGGTGGACTCCAGTGTTGGGTGTGCTCCGTGTCCTCTGCGTGTCCCAGCCAATGCCAGGCCAGCTAGCATGTGTTTATAGCCAATGTCTCACGTCGCAGACCCCAGCTGTCCAGTCAAGCCTGCAGTCTTGAGCGTTAACACGTCGTTTTGTCTAAAGAGACTCGGGACTCGCGGCGATGCCTTGCCAATGGCCTAAGAGGTCAGTCCTTCTGCACCCAGTCTGAGACCCGGCCACGAACAGCCTGGAGAGGTGGCTCCTGGAGATCTTTTACCCTGAAAATTCCAGGGAGGAAGCAAAATGCTATCTGCACAGATCAGCCTTAAATCCTGTTCTTCTGGTCTTGCAAACAAGCAAGTGGAAACAGGCGACACGCGAAAGCAGAGGCGGGTCCCGAAGATCCTGGCTGTGTCATCTGTGGAACTGCCCACCGCCACCACGGGCTGCCCCTCGACGGCCCGGGTGGAGGAGGAAGTGACGAGGGCGAGGGCGCCTGGGCCTGCCAGGGCCCCACGGAGCGGCGGCGGCGGCACTCGGGGTGAGGAAAGGAACAACAGTAAACCCCAAACGTTGGGAACTGCGCTGGGGCTCCCCTGGATGGCTCGGTGGCACCGATGGCATTTCCCAGTGTGCACTTCGATGTCTCAGCAATGGCTTTCTTTTGAGGGAGAAAAACAGCGTTGAAAACAGTCGCTCTAAGAGAGCTTGGAGTATCTATCTTTAATTCCAGATGAGGTGACTTAAGACTGTCTACGCCTCATTTATTTGGCATGAGTTAGGTGCGGTTCACGCAGCAGCCTAGAAGTCTAGGTTTTGCATTGCTGTTTTCTTCTCTCAACAGGAAGGAATATCCACACGAAACGTGTGCTCCTTGTCCTCCCATTCCACCTCTGCAGCCCTGGGAGGAGCATGCCACTGGGAACTCAGGGTCTCCCTGAAGCCTGGAGACGTCCCGGGGGCCGCGGGAAATAGTGCGGACACTGAGCCGGCCAGTCCTTTACCAAGTGGGGACCCAGCATCAGTGACAAGCATCAGAGTGACCTTGCCCTGGATCCTGAAATCTCCCGCCGGCACTCAACTTCCCGGCTTCACCAAGTCACGAAGAGAAAAAGCTGTGCATGTCAAGGCCTCTGATGGTGGACATGTCTGCAGTAACTCTTAGCTTGATTCTGAATGGCCGAGGCTTCGCGGTAGCACTTCCTCTCGCCAGCAAACCCTCACAGTCTGAAGCTCCTTACAGACACCCCGGGCTGTCTGTTCTCTGCCCAGCTCACCCTGATGGCAGATGGCTTTCCCAGGCACTGGAGACAGAGCTGGTATTACTGACCCTCCTGTACTTTCTGTGACAGTGTCAGTCTCAGTGGCTGGACCACTGTTCCTGTGAATTTGGTTCCATTGAGGGACGTCTAGGGGGCCTACTCACCTACCTTCTTCTTCTTCAGGTGATGCCCACCCTCATATTCTTAGATTTTCTGAAATGGACCAAGGCCCCTCCAGCCTCAGGGCCTTTGCACAAGCTGTCCCCTCTGTGATGCTTTTTTCACTTCTGTTCGCCTGTCTAATCTCACTCAACTGCAGGCCAAGATGTCACTCTTCAGGGAGGTTCCTGGCCTGGACGGGGTCTCCAGCATCCTATCAGCACCCACTATGCCCACAACTCACAGATGCCCTACTTCCCGGGCCCAGCTCATCGGCTCCCATGGAAGGAGCTCAAAGAACAACGTGTTGAACAAATGTAGCAAGAGGAGAAGGAGAGAATGGCTTCCCAGAGCATCATTTGGAATCTAATCTGGCAAAGTCCTTTCTGGCTTGCACATAGGCTGTTTCCAGAATGTCTGATGGGTGGCAGGCCGCATGAGGTACAGAGACCCAGACTGCTGACAGCTGCGAGGCGTGACCCTGCAGCCGGGTGGTGGCAAACCAACATTTATGAACTTTCTGGAGCAGAATTGACTCTACTATTGCACCTCAGATCAAGTGCCCCATTTTAGGTTTGAAAAATGGGGCTGCTCTGTGGAAACTGCACAGAGGTCTGGGCATACAAAGGGACGATCTCCAAAGCATCCACATGGAATGCATCCAGTGGCCGCTCCGCAGAAAGCTGAAGATAATGAAAAACGTTTCCCACCTGGGATTAAGGCCCAGGACCCGGAGTTCGTCACATGGTGCCTCTGGGACAATGGGCTCTGGACAATGTGTCACGTTCCACCCTTCCCGCAGCGACATTCTCACTCAAGGGCAGGGCAATTTTGCATTTTGTGCTGACAGTGTTTTCTCAAGGTCCCTGTCCAACGTGTTTAATTTTGTGGAAGAGTTCTGCTGCGGCCACTGGTTCAGACGGACACGGAGGTGCTAGAAGGTGACAAAAGTGAGTCCTATCCCCCGCGTGACTCCTTCACTCTGTGTGCGCCTGGCTGCTCCAAGGTCAGACGCCTGGGACAGGAAGCGGGGTCACCCCGCCCGCCAGTTCAATGAAAGGGTCAGGCAGGGCCCAGCTCCTTTACAGAACATCTCTGTGAGAGCACAATGCCTTACAGATAGCCCCCCGCTGCCAGCATTCCTGTCTCGGCCCAGACGTAAGTGGAGACTCCCAGCCAATTAGCCCGTCACAGAGTCACTTTTGAGGAGAGGGGTTAAGAAGGGCCTTGAGTCGGAGGGGTACAGGGTGGGAGAAGACGGTGCTTCTCTTCTGACCCCCGACAGGGTGGTGAGGACAGGGGGGCTGGGTCTGGGAGCCCGTCTGGGAAGGCTGCCCTGTCTGGGGCACGGACGAACAGCCTGCTGAGCCCTTCAGTGGGAATGATCCCTGACTCACGAGGTCTTACCTGGCCTGGGACCCAGCTCAGCTCTAGACAAGGACAAAGAGGGAGACACCTCAGCTGCTGAACTGTATTCCCACAAAACTGTTACCTGAATCCTGCCTGGGTTGGGCAGCAATCTTAGAGTCCAGGGGTGGCATGGTATTTTCACCCTTGGATCTCTTCGTCCGAACACAACTAGACTGCGGCAGCAAACTTCCTTCCTCTTGCAAACTGACTCAGGGATTTGGTTTACTGTAGGACAATTCTGTAATGGAGGTGGGCAGCACCTCACCCATTCCCGGCCACTCAAAGGGGGTACGAGCCTCTGCCCCGCTCACCAGTGGCCTCCGGAGGTGGAGAGGGAGCACACAGTGACGGGCTGGAGCAGATGCAGAACTCGCAGGGCCCTGAACAGGTGGCACATGTCCCAGGTTCAGTGAGCCCCAGTGCTGACAGGACAGGAGCCCTGAATTCCAGTTCAAAGGCTGGTCCCTGCTGTTTCCTGCTGACCTTGGACCTTGCTCACAGGGACACAGGAGCCCAAGAAAGGCTCCTGCAAAGGGGCCAACAGCTGGTGAGAGGCCCTGGGCCACCAAGTCTCTTATGTGCTAATTCTCTTATTTGTATCTGACTGAAAGCCCGCATCCAAAGCTTTTGCTTATTTTTAATTAAAATAAAATAGTGATCTCTTTTCAAAGTCCAGGGTGGAGAGTCAAGTGCGGCTATTTCCCCCAACTCCCATGGGTGGGATTCCTTTCACCAAGCCCACGCCAGGAATCTCCAAGCCAAGAGCAAAGTGTGTGCGGACAGAACAAGGGAGGCCGCTGGCTCCAACCACGCCCCATTTGGAGCCCTGTGTCCAGGGTGGGATGGATGTCTCCTCCGCCAGCTGTTGAGTCCTTGTGGTCTGGACAGGAGTGGCGTCTCCAATTCTATTTATAATCTATGTGGAGGGTTCTGTGATCTAGCCACTCGAGATGTTTGAGGTCTATACTATTTGGGCAGCTGAACGCTCATTCACAGCACATCCTGAGCTATTATTGAATTAGGCATACATATTTCACATCATGTGCAAAGCATCGTTAACTCACTCAGTGCACCAAACGTTCTCCCTGATTTCCTAATCTCAGAAAGCAAGTCCTTACAAAATCCTATGTAATAAAACCCTAATATGCAAATCGACCAAATGGCGGAACAACCAGTTGATATGACACACACTGACCACCAGGGGGCAGATGCTCAACACAGGAGCTGCCTCCTGGTGGTCAGTGCGCTCCCATGGTGGGGAGCACTGCTCAGCCAGAAGCCGGGCTCACGGCTGGTGAGCGCAGTGGCATGGTGGGAGCCTCTCCTGCCTCCACTGCAGGAGGGCGGTAAGGAATGAGGGGTCCTGGACTGTGAGAGCCCCAGACAGTGAGAGGGATGTCTGCCTACTGGCTTAGGCCTGATCCCCAGAGGTCCTGGACTGCAAGAGGACACAGGCCGGGCTGAGGGCCCCCCCCCCCCCCCCCCGGGCCCAGGGCACAGATTTCGTGCACCAGGCCTCTAATTTAAAATAAAAGACCCCATAAGAAAAGGTGCTTTGCTGAAATTATCAAGAAAAAGCACCTCCCACCCAACAAGCAGTGTTTGTTCACATGCATCCGGGTGGAGGAAATCAGGAAGCCAGACTCACTCAAGCTGGAGCCATCCCCCTCTCCTGTGAGGGGCCTGGGGGCCCGTCCACCATGCA